GGCTTTCAGGAGAACTCCTCTAGACACCCGTCTCGCGTCGTGGCGGGTACTATGGTTAAGAGGAAAGGTCACTTCGAATAGGGGTGTGGGATGAATGGTTTTGTCTTAATCTTAGTGCAGGTCATCGTGAGCAAACCAATCGACGCCTTCTTTCCTCCATTTCACCCCCATTAGAAATGTGATCTCGCTTGTTACCATAGCAGCAGACAGCCCCAGACTTTCAGTCTGGAGAAGTTCTCCTCAAAGCCGCACTATACTTAACACCTGAGTCGTGGTGGCTCAGGGGATAGACTGTTAGCGTTCGAATGAGGTTAACCGGGTTCGAATACCAGCGATGGTTGGTTGATACGAATTCCGTACCTGACTCGCACCGACCACAGTGCTGACGTAAGATATCCTTAGTGGTACAGGGATCATTGGTTAGAGTCCCCTTGCCATCAGACTAACCGTGGGAGGTTTTTGTGGTTTACCTCTCCATGTAACGCAAATGCGGGTTATTTCCCTTAGAAAGTCCTCCACAAAGGCAAATGTCTCCTAATATTTGATCCTTCACTTGTCTTCTGGATTAGGTTCCAAAATACAAGGCTATGGAGTTAAACATTAGTAGCCGTAAACCCAAAGATTCGGTCGGCTGTTCAACGGCGGTTATAAATTAAAATTACTTAACTCGGATGAATATGTTCAAGTCCACACCCGGGCTGTTACGCAGATAATGAATTCATATAGGTAGATATTAGTGGTGAGACGAGCTCAGTTCGAGTCTATCGCGGGTTCGTGCACGTTTACTGAAAAAAAGGTTTCGGGCTTGGTCGAGCTGAGATTCATGACACAATTTTCATAAACTTTCTTACTACTTTTAAAACAAAGGTTTGGTTTCGTTATCAAGTACAAAAAAAAAATGAAAAATTTAAAAGGTATAAAAATTTACAGCTTTCTGCTTCTTTTGTTTGGTGCTTTAGCTTTGTGAGGCTAGTACTAATTGTCAATATATTTATTTAGCTTGATATTTTAATCTTTGTTTCAGTCATCTTGGAATTTCAGTTGGTTTTCTTTCACAGGTTGGTGATAGAAAAGTTTCTAATTTACTAATTCTTCCTTGTTAAGATATTAAATGCCGAGTGACGACATCGCCAAATTTGGTCTTTATCCAACGTAGACATCGGGCTTGGGTGGACTCTGTCTCTAAGTAATCTTATGTATCTGGGACTCGGGCCTCCAAACGCAAGCCCGAAATCATCTCCTGATATAGTTATCTTATATAGAGATGTCCACGCCAAATTTGACTAGTATATATAGTTACCTTATATAGTATATAACTTGACTAGTATATAACCAATCAATTGTTGTTATTTTGTGGTTGAGGTACTTTTTTCGATTGGATAATTCTTATTCCGATAGAAACGTGTTCCTAATGGTTGCTACAAGTAGCTGATTGATCATTGATGAATTTTTAGTAGGCAGGTAAGGTAAGGTAAAGATTTGCCTCTACCAGCCCAATTAAAGGGCACGCGAGAAGTAATATCAACCCGTCGCCGCAGCAGACCCACCTAGCAGGGGGGGGGGGCACAGGCTCGCACCGGCCGGGGGACCCGACGAAGCCCCACCGTGACACGTTAAAATTCAAAAAATACAAAGTTTTGAGAAAGTTGAGGCAACAGCCGCAATATTGCGGGCAAAAGGTTATTCAAATAAAGAACATCAAAATTTAATTGTGTTCAACGTCTATATAGCTGTGCACATATCAAGCTATGACAGTTCTCAGAGTATATAAACATTTAAAAAATTTATAAATACAATAATAATAGAAATAAGATCACCGAACAACTGAAGTTTATACCATTGCATAAATCATAAGGTCAAAGAACGCTCATAAATTTAAAACGAATAAAACCTCTCAAGATATAAAAATCCGAGACCAAATTATACAATTTAAAACCAGTTAATAAAAAAACTCCGATCAAAAGGGATCACTAAGGCCAACTGGTCCTCATAAAATTATTAAAACTACTAAAAAGTCAGAAGACCCTTATAAATTTAAAACCCAAAAATTTATAAAATAGCATTATAAGCAATAGTAAAAAAATGCAAAGATGTGAACTTGCTAGGATAATTAAGATAAGAACACATGATCAAGAACCTTAAATATCTCAGATAAAAACAACAAAACGATAAAGTCCCAAAAGGGAAGCTAAAAGAATGGTAATTGTAAAAGCAGTAGCTAAAACAACATATTGTAAAAACAATAAAGGTTAAAAGTATTCAAGGTAGAAATGTTTAAGGCTAAACTAATTGAGATCATTAAGAGAGACACAGACACCCAAGATGGAAATCGCTGGCTCCGATATGCATGATATGTTGTCGGCCAGGACATGTTTTTTTGATGATTTTTTTATGATGTCTCTACAGGTCAAGTTAGCAAAACACTGGTGTTGAGACTGGTTAACAAAGTGGATTCCGCGGAGTGTCTGGAAGTGGGTGCAGTCCATAACTAAATGTTCGATTGTTTGATATTCCCCACAATAATGACAGTCTGGACTTATTAAACATATTTAGCCGGTGTTCTCCAAACACTCCGTGGCCAGTTAAGAATTTATTCAGGTAAAAGTTGGCCCGTAGTCTCTTTGTAGCAGGATCCTTAAAAAATTTAAATATTTGTCGACCTTTCTCGGAACTCTGCCATTCCTGTTTCCATCTCTTCATATTATGGGTCTTAATAAATGTTCTGATTTGGGCTTTCGAACTTGGGACCTCTAAGTCAATTTGACAGAGACTGATGGCCCTCTTGGCTGCTTGACCCGCTTCCTCATTGCCCTGTATGACTATATGAGCCTCGACCCAGTTACATTCAATGTTTGGTCGCCATAATCGTTTAATGTGTTCGATCACGTGTGAAGTGGATGTTGGGTCAGCTAATGCCTGCAGTGAAGAGAGCGAATCAGAGTAGATAACAACATCTGGGTACTTTACGTCGGCAAGCCAAGAGAGAGCATGTTTTATTGCCATCACCTCTGGCATACAAACACTACTGTCATTAGAAATTCTGGTAGAGGCTGCCTTAATCAAAATTCCATCGTTTTTAATTACAATCACAAAACCTGTCTTGTAATGGTAGTTTGTCTCGCTACTTGTTTCATCTGCAACCTCCATCCTAGAACCGTCTGTAAATATTTCAAGACCACTGTTAGTTAACAGTGATCTACCCAAAGACACTGAGATAAATTGTGATGGGTGTAGCCTGTATGGGGGTTCTATTAACTGGCTGATTTGCATGTATTGATGAATAGTTAGATCAAGACGAATAGTTAGTAGGCAAGTGAGTAAGTAGGTAAGTGATGTCAGCATAGACATCTCTATGCATTAGTCGAGTGATTATTATTATTGCAGTATTAGGGAGTGTTCTCACTGCGCGCGAATGAGAATCTGATGGGCGAATTTTTCGTGGCTGAATTTATTCCACCAATCAGGTTCTGATTCGCATGCGAAAAAAATCAACTGCAGTGAGAATGACTCTAAATTCGAAGGGCATTTCCCAAAAAGATAGCCAGTCCAAGTGTAAAAGCATCATTTTTCTTCAGTTTCTTGAAATCAACCGTTGCTTAGGGGTCTCGTAAAAAAGAGGCATTGAACTACCGCTACGGAAAAAAAACTCGACGAATCTGAATCATTTAATATATTTTTGACCACCAATATGTTATTTTTTAAATAACATATAGTGGTGAATGCAAATATACCAGCATAAAAATTTTGTCTGATCAGACCTCCTTAATACTTAAGTGGTACCTCAAATTTAATTTCGATAAGTTTTAACGAAATTTTACCACCACTTTTTAAATTTTTTATGGCCAGCAGGAACTCTGTATAAGTCAATAGGAAATCCCCCAATATTAAGTATTTATAAACATAAAGGTTTTTTTCCTACCGACCGAACTAAACTGTCAAAGGCGTGGAGACGGGAAGGCTAATTTCTAATCTTTAATCTTTTTTTTATTTAATTTTCTCAAATAAACTAACGACGGCTATTTACTTTATTCGGCAGTATATTTTGAATACTTTAAAATATAAGGTCGACACCCGATTTCAATTTGAGATGTAAGGTGTTCGGTAATTTAGATTCTTCTTTTTCTGTGATAAAATTATAAAAATACGATTGCATACCTACAAGCGATGTCACGTGTCTCTAAGTCGTAGTGTTTGTTTATGCTACAATTTCCAACCAATCAGGTTCACGTGTCTTTGATATCGGATTTGTTATTTGTGCTTAAAAAAAAGAATTGTTATAAGAATTGTCATTTGAAGACCTCTCATATCAAGAAGTAAGAAAAAAAAATTGTTATTCAGGGGCTGTCTAAGTTTTTCTAAGAGGTACCTATTTTGTGAAAATTTAGACATAATTTGTGAAAATTAAAAATTATCTTAAAAAATCTACACAAAAATATAGTAAAAATATGGATTTATCGTTTCTTACGGGATACAAAAATAAAATTTTAAGAAAAAATCTACCGTTTTTCCTAAAGTTGAATTTGTGAAGTTACCGCCGGTAGTAAATTTAGCCTGGACAGACCCTGTTATTATACATTTCTTACCTTGTCAGCAATATACCAAATTCGAAATTTAACCCTAAATGATAAGTTGTAAAATGAACTTAATCTCGCTGCTCGAACAATGTGCTAACACTAATGTATAATGGTGCACGGCTTGCAAGTAAAAAGAGACCAAATCTGGGCTGCCAAAAAAGCGAATTCTTTCTAAATCTAGCAACCATGACGTCTTTTTTAACACATCTATTTTTGTCGCATCTATAAATAGCTAAAACAAATTTTCACTTCAAACTCAATCAGAATTACTTAATATCATTAATATTTCATGAAATACAGCAGATTTGAGCTCAGAAACTACATAATTTATTTCTTTTGTTAAAAATAAAACTATTTATTTGAAAATATCGCTTCCCAGAATAAGCTGTAGTAAGTAGCTGTATACTTTCTAACCGGAAGTAGAACAGGTCTAGATTGTTGTTGTTTACATTTATATTGAAAACACTATCCATTCAGGTTCTAATCGTGATTGGAGACGCGTGAGTTAATAGGGTTCCATAAATATATGAAACAATATTTACTTACTTGCATGGCAAAGAGAATAACGGCCGTCAGACCGAGCCAACTGTGCAGAGAGTAAAGGTTTGGAATGGGTTTGGCGGGTAAATTGTGCGAATCGAATACAGCTTTGAGAGAGACGATGGTGAATATGAAAGCTGCAGTATGAAGACCAAAATGCAAAAGCTTCAATGACTGTTTTCTCTGATTGCGAAATACTCGATAAACAAGCAGTGCTGAAAAAAGAAAACAAAATACGGTACTTTGTGATTAGTCAGGTACAAATAAATTCAACAATTTATTTATTTATGTTAAACACAAAACATAATTATTACATATACAATAAATATATTATACATAGAAAATTGTATTAAAATAAAAAGTTGCAGAAAATAATTACTAAAAGAAGCTTAAGAAGACAACTCGAACCAAAGGCTTTTAATTGAGTACTTTTTATCGTAATTGCAACTGTGACATCGAGTCACAAGTTTAATTTAATTTTGTTAATTCCTGATACAAATCTTAATATTTGCTGATCTAATTCTTCTCGCCCCTTAAGTTTTATTGCAATTGAGACACTCTCTCCAAGAAATTCCTTTTCTCATTCTTTACAACCCCTCTTTTTCTAGAACATTCCTTCCTCCTTCAAACCGTCCTTTTCTTGGAACCACACCTGCTTGCCGGTATCTTTGATGTTCGCGTGTCGTACAAAATCCTAGATGTGTTTCTTAACCGTAACGCTGGTATAAAAATTGATATAACATCTCAACTTTTTTAAAATAAGTAATTTAACTTTAAGCAAGAGGATAAAAGGGAAAGCGCGAAAGGCGATCGGGGATTCGATATTTTGATCAACTAGTTGCGGCCCTCAGCTTAACGGAGTTTATTTTTCCTTCCCTCCTTGATGAGGTGGGAAATTTTTTTTTGTTAGAAAAATAGCGTCCTTGTGCGCCATCTTTACCCTTTTCATCAAGTTGATTTTTGGATTTTGTATCTTTGTCATTTTTTTAGCAACTAACTACTAACTTTTAATCATCATTTATGCTTCTTATCAGTGAACGTTACATCAGTATTTGGTTATTAAAACCATATGATTTTGCTACTGGAATTAGAATGAGGTAGTCAACATCGTTATGAGTGTGGTCATGGCGACATCCACATTGAAGAAGGGTTCGACTCCATCACTCCCACGTGAGATAGGTTTTCAACGACATGACGATGTCATTTTCCTGTGCTTCATGATCCCAGTCTTGTGCTAAGAGAACCAGTGTTGTTCGATGAATCTCTGTGCCGTTGGACGTGATAATATTCCGATTTTCGAAAAGAAATGTTTCATAGATATCCAACCATACCATTTCCCGTAACAAAAGTTTTCTGATAAACAACAAAACAAGAAGATGTTTGGAAAGAAATCGGTCGCTCCATACCACCTTCTCCACCTGATGACTGTACCCTGGTCGGATTGTTTTTCATAAGTGTTGTGCAACTCCCTCAATGTAAGAAACCAATAAAGAAAGACTAACAGCAATCAAAATACGTGACTTTTTATTTTAATGTTCCCATTTTTTTTAAAAAAAAGTTGTCTCCTTTTAGAATAATCGAGGATGATCTTCTGATCGTCAAAAGGTATGTTTTTTGTTGTTATCTTCTATAAGTTGTACTGGGTTATTGCAAGGTCTTTGTAGTTGAACCACTATACGATAGTTTTGTTTTGGCTATATTCCTTGAAAAACCATTAATTGTGAATTTCAGTTGTTCATACCCAGCATTCCAATGTAACAGCAATTTTACTTAAGACTTAAGATAGAAAAAAAAATAGTTTGATTTTAGGTAAGGGTTCCACTCTAATGCGCATCAATATTTTATTAAAAAACAACGAGTCTTTTTTTCAAACCTTGGAAAAATGGCATCTCTGTTGCCCAAACGGTGCCACGTGTTAATTCCCATTAAACATATAGATGGCGCTGTAAGCGTAAATTGAATTTAATTGTAGAACTGAGTGCTGGAAGCAGCAGTGTATGTGTAATGTGTATGAGTAACGGGCTCACGAGCGAGTCCGTAATGCTGGTACAAAATAAATGAGTATAAAATAAATACAGTCCAATTATTGTGTGTGAGCTATTGATCTGACCAAACTGGTCAAATGGTCCTCCGAGAACGGAGGTGAGTTAAAACCTATGGATTAAAATACGAATTTCATCACTTAAAAGGTATGTACCAGTTTTGAAATTTGATTGAGATAAATTGTGCATTGACTTTATATTGACTATATATAAATATAAACTATGTTTAAAGGAGCGAAAAAAGAGGATTTAAGGCAAATTGCCATTGAGTTAGGTGAAAATGTTACTGAGACTATGACTATTATTGAGCTAACGAACTTAATAAAAAACAACGAAACATTTGTTAAAGAGCCAGAACTTGCTACNTGAATTTCTTGACAATTTTGGACGTATGGCAAGGAGCTAAATCCTGTTGAAAAATCCCTATTCCATCAGGGTATCGTTTCTTCAACTCTGGAACAACTTTTTTACCCAGAATAGTAATGTACTGCTCAGAACGCATCATACCGTCAATAGCCTGCAAAGGTTCAACCCCATTGTAACCGAAACAACCCCAAAACATCTTCTTTAAAAAACACGAAAAAAAAAATTTGTTTCAATTAATTTGCACAAGGGTGTACGTTTGAATTACGAAACTTTTTTCAAATTTTCTAATAACTTGCTGCTTATTTAGGGTGCTTCTGAGATATTTAGTCGAAAGAATATTTACAAATTTGTAATAGTATTATTTCTCAATGCTTTCGATAAACAGAAACATTAAAGCTTTTGTTTCCTTTTCCAAAAATAAAATAATTAATAATTAAAAATGTGTTGCACCATTAAAATTTGATACAAGACATCTGGAAATATAATGAGCCTTGAAAGTAATCAACAACGGAATACCAAAATGTAATGATAATTAAGCATACTGGAAGTACAAGAGAGAGAGAAAACTTTTCACAGTTAACTACTCCGTTGAAAGACTTCGGATGATGTTAATTAGGGAAATGAAGTAGCGGTGGCAACCGAAAGGAAGGNAAATCAGAGGTACATTGTGCCTTTCATTTTTAAAGGTACGTTGGGCCCTTAAAATTCAGAGGCACAAATGATCCAAATGTGCCTCTGAAATCAGAGGTACAGTTTTTAGAGTGTATGGCAATTAAACAACATGATTAATAACCGAGGTGTGTGCAGCCCTAAAACAGTCATTTTAGCTGTGCAAAAAGATAGGGTCGAGTTGACATGGTAATAATTTAAATACACTCGAAAAAATCTAAAGCTCTGGGAAGAAACTTTGTAATATTTTGTTTTTTTCTAATAAATTTAATTAAAGAATAAATTATTCTCTCAAAAATTCGACCAACTGGGTATGTGAACCACTAGTGATATGATAATTTAAAAAGAGCTTATGGTACATCTGGACTACCTTCTGTACCACTGTATCTGTACAAAGAAGTTAAAAGAGCTATGTATGACAATTTAAGTGCTTCTGCACTAAAACTGTGAAAGTGCAAAGTGAAGTCTGATAAAACAGGCGAAATATTAAAAATTAGTTTAATTCTTTATTCTTTGTACTTGGAATATCGTGGAGTTGAATGATCGGGCTTCGTTGAATGGCAATTGGAGATCTACGCCCTATAATATCTTATGGTAAACACACAACAAACCCGTCCTTTTATAGGTGATTACTAAGCAACTCAACATTTTAACTTTGGACGTTTGCCAAAAACTATGTGAGCTTTCATAATTATAGTATGCAATTTGCAATTTTAAATTTTTGAAATTTTATGTAAATCAATGTTGAAACTAACAGGTGATAGGGTATTTATAAATTTTATTAACAAGAAATTTAATGTCTAGACCAGAGGTCACCAAAGTGGTCTATATAGACCCCCAGGGGTCTATTTAACAAAAGCGGGGGTCGATCCGAATCGGAAGGGTAGATTGGGGGTCGAAGAAAAAACAGTTCTTAATACGCAAATCACACATACCTAAGTGAGTATGTAAAATTTGTGAATTCTTTATAATTGACTTAATATCAGTTTCATTATAGAACATAAATTAATAAACTTATTTTTATTCGGGTGAAACAAGTACTTACGTACCAGCGCGCAGTGGCACGAACTCTGCACTGCTGGTTTATAAGTCATATGCATATGTGCGCTTGTCCAAATGTCACGTGTGACGAGCATTGACATAACAAACGCAAATATCATGCGCAGTTTCAGATAGCTTTGCAAACTGTGAACAGTGTTGAATACTTGCAGTGTCATTATTAAAACTTTTACAGTTTTGGATAATTAGTTATTGTTTCGATAAAACCATTCGTTTAGTTTAGATATCAATTTTAATTATCAATACATGTAAAAAAGAAGGTAAGCATTAATATTATGGATTGTTACAGCCAGCGGCAAAACTATAGCACACTTCGTATTTCTTGCAAAACAATAAGAACCTTATTTTTTTTTATTTAGCGGACTTAGTTGGAAAATTTAATGATGTCCAAACAAAGGTGCAAAGAAAAGATGTAACAATTATCGAAGCTCGAACAATACTATTAGGCTTCCAAAAAAATTTAAATTTAGATCTTCATCGCTACGTAAGGATTATCAGTATTTTTCAAATCTTCGATAATTAGAAATAAAAGAAGACTTAGAAATATATACAGGTCATCTTCAAAACTTGAGCGACGATTTTAAACTGCGCTCTGTTGATTTGGAAAACATTGACATCCCTGATTGGATTAATGTGCCATTTTCTGCTCAAATTGAAAACGTGGACATCAACGTGCAAGATGAGCTTGCTGAATTATTATCGGACCTTGAAGCAAAGACGCTTTTTAAAAATTTAGCAATAAGCAAATTTTGGACAAATATAAATGTAATGCAAAAATATGTAAAACTTTACGAAATAGCTCAGCCATTTATACTAGCATTTCCAAGTTCCTATATGGTTGAAGCCGTTTTCAGTCACGTGAATTCAATCTTAACTAAGTACAGAAATAAATTAAATGTGGAGTTTCGAGGGGATTTAAGATTAAAATTGACCAATTTTGAACCCACAATATAGCGAATTTAGCAAAAAAATACCAGATACACCCATCTCATTGATGAAGAAGCAATAAATTTGTATTTACTTGGCTTATTATTTCTACTTATTATAATTACTTATTTAATAAATATTAAGGTATTTAAATTTCAAAACTAATATATTTTTCATAAAACTATTGTTACACAATAAACAGTTTTTTTAATAAATGTTTAAAATCATAAAATAAATGTACAAACACAGTATCTAACATTTAGTTTTATTTTTTTATTTCAGAGTTTTCATTCAGAGTTTTATTTTAATAAACAGAAAATTATTTTTAGGGGTCGATGGAGATTTCGAAAAATTATATAGGGGTCGATGATCAAAAAAGTTTGGCGACCCATGGTCTAGACAAATTTTTTTTTCTAAAAATAGATTATCACGTGCTAATTTATAGATAAAGCTACTATTAATAGTTTTTGGAAATGAATTTTAAGTTTTATCACGTGCCACTTCGCAACAAGTTTCATGAAAAAATTTGAATTCATTGAGTCACTCCTTTTAATCTATTATGAGTAATTAAGTGGAGGAAGGGGTAAAGAAACTTCGAAAGAATGTAAATTTTATTGAGCTAGAAGATCTTTTCTAGAAGTTTTATTAACCTATTAACCGTCAAAAGTCACGTTTCAGAAGAAAAAAAATTGATAACTTGATTATTTCATTTAAAAAAAAAAATTCATTTTGATGAAGCAGAAATCGTTTGTGTTCACCAAAAACCTTTTAGTGCTATACATAGTAATTTTTTGAATTGAAATTCTACATTTGCGACATTTCTTTAATTGGGTACTTACACTTCAAGAAGAAGACGATCACATATACCCATACATGTGACCTATGACGTTCAGCACCAGCTGATAGTTTTGAAGCAAAATGGCGTGTTAAAGTTGAGGTAAATTTCTCCACATAAGTCAGAATGTTAAATAACGTGAAATTAATTAAATACAGCGCCGTATCGCTCATAGAATTTGTTGAAATATAATTCGTTCTTGTTTAAGCAGGGCTCGAAAAAACTCAGAAATTTTACCCTACCCGAGGACGGCTTATCCAACAATGTACCCGTCCTCCTTTGAAACTAACCCGTCGCTTCTAAATAAATAAAAATATAATTTTCTCTTATTTATTACAAACATTTATATAAACTAGGAGGCTTCGCCCGCTGCTCGCTAGCGCTCGCCAAACCCCGGAACTGCTTTCGCAGTTCATTTCGGATTGCTTCGCAATCCGATGCTCGCTCATTAGATACGTTCTTAACGTCTAGCTTTTGTATACTTTTTTGAACACTGAAGTTCCGAAAACTTTTCACTGTAGAAAATTCTAAACCTGTGCATTTCAATATTAATTTGAAATTGCAANTTTTATTTTGTATAGAAACTTTAATGGATATAACAACTTCCATCTCATAATATTACTAAATATCAGAATTACATTGGATTATTAAATGTTTTTTGATAATTTGAAATGTAAACGAGCGTCTCTTGTCTGAAAGTAAATTTTCATTCCTGCAGAAGCTTCTCTCAACGTCTACTGATGTTATAGGTGCGTACTTGAAAAAGACGGTCTTTCTTACTGACAATTCTTCTTCAATTTGAAAAGATGTTGCTTCACCTGTTAATATCCTATAGATTTTCTTTATTGTTTGGAAGCCAGTGTAATAATGAAAATTGATAAAAAATAACGAAAATTGTAAAAAAAATAACAGAAAACTTTAAAAAATACATTAAAATGCAAAATACGCCCCAGAATTTCAAGAAAAATGCCCTATAAATCTAAAAAAATGCTCTAAAAGACAAAAAATGTCAAAAAATGCAAATGTCATCAAAATCAGGGCCTTAGTGATTACTAAGCAACTCAACATTTTAACTTTGGACGTTTGCCAAACAACTATGTGAGCTTTCATAATTATAGTATGCAATTTGCAATTTTTAATTTTTGAAATTTCATGTAAATCAATGTTGAAACTAACAGGTGGTAGGGTATTTATAAATTTTATCAACAAGAAATTTAATGTCTAGATCAGATGTCACCGAAGTGGTCGATATAGACCCCCGGGGGTCTATTTAACGAAAGCGGTGGTCGATCTGAGCCAGGGGGTCGATCCGAATCGGAAGGGTCGATTGGGGGTCGAAGAAAAAACAGTTCTTATTACGCAAATCACATACACCTAATTGAGTATGTAAAATTTGTGAATTTTTTATAATTGACTTAATATCAGTTTCTTTATAGAACATAAATTAATAAACTTGTATTTATTCGGGTAAAACAAGTAGCGCGCAGTGGCACGAACTCTGCACTTCTGGTTTATAAGTCATATGCATATGTGCGCTTGTCCAAAAGTCACGTGTGAGGAGCATTGACGTTACAAACGCAAATATCATAAGCAGTTTCAGCTTTGCAAACTGTGAACAGTGTTGAATATTTGCAGTGTCATTATTAAAACTTTTACAGTTTTGGATAATTAGTTACTGTTTCGATAAAACCATTCGATCAATACAG